AAGGACTTAAAAAAATACAGACAACTACTCTGGGGCACGAGGAAACTATTGACCGTATACTGAGTATTCTCGAAAATGCAGGTGCTTCATCTGTGAAGAAATGGGCTACAATAGAGGTCATCAAGAAAGTGGTGTCATACGATATGGCCAAAATTATGCTCTGTGCACTCGAATCCAACCTCACTTTTGTAGAATCAGTAGTTGAATATTGTTTACCGCCTGCGTGCAAAGGTTACCAATCGAGAGTACGGCAAATAAATGGCGTTTTTACAGGTTATAGGTATAGAGAGCACGATAGTTATACACAGCACAATAGTTATACACAGCACAATAGGTTTAGAGAGCACGATAGGTTTAGAGAGCACGATAGGTTTAGAGAGCACGATAGGTTTAGAGAGCACGATAGGTTTAGAGAGCACGATAGGTATAGAAGACGTGTTCATCCTCTTTTTATTCTTTTCGATATACTGCTTTCAAAAGCGTACAGTGCAGGAGAAAGTGTGTTCAGCACATTGAGTTCTGCAAACGAGCATGACATAAAAACTGTTTTGGAAAAAGCAAAGGGTTTTCTGCTTAAGGGTGTCAGCGCCGATTCTTCCATATTTCAGGTAAAACAAGCTTCCAACATTATTCATGGATGTGTAGATGAAGAAGAGCTCACTGAAAATCGTGCTAATGAATTGATGGACATAGTTAGACCATTCATTTACGGTCGAACACCGCTTTTCGAATCATTATTACATGCAATCAAGCTCTTTTCGGATACAAGGTATCAAAATCATAAAAAGCTGTTATTTGTTCTGTCAGATGGAATGCCAACGGACAAAACAAGAGAAAATGTAGTAGCAAAGTTAAGGAATACAAATGTACATGTAATAAGTTGTTTCATCACCAGATCAACAGCAGTTGATCCACATAAACTTTACAGTCAGCCTAATAGAAATTGGGAAAAAGATGCAACATTCATGTTTGACCTTAGCTCCAAAATTAAAACTGAATTGCTGCCACGAACAATATTCATAAAGCGAGGTTGGGAGATTGAAATTGCAAACAACGAAACAAACCTGTTTTTGCAGGTAAATCACCCTGATCACATAAGAGATGCTTGTGATCTAGCGCGAAACGTGGTCTGTTGCCAGGACGCATTGGCCGATCTTCTTGTTTCGGTCTCACTTGACATTTATATCAATCAAAGTAAATCTGAAATAAGCGCACCAGATCAAGGAGAGACTGGTACGTGTTACGCTAATGCTGCTGCGACAGTTCTTCATCTGTCAATGAAACGAATTCTTGGACGAGAGGGAGGTCATCCTGACTTTTACATGTTGAGAGAAAGGTTAACTAAAAAGCACGGTGAGAAGGGGGCAAATACACTTGCTGTTCTAATGGATGTGTGTCCAGATTTGCGTCTTCATTGTCAGGAAGTTAATATCATAGGTGCAATGCGTGCCATAACTGCCAAGCGCCCAGTGGTCGCAAGGTTCCGTCTAACTAATGATGAATGGCAAAAGTTTAAAAAGTTCTACAAAGACAATAAAACAGGTGTACTTACAAGAAACGAAATAGACCTAAACAAACCTCGACGTGGTGTTCTACGTGGTCATGCAGTCGTTCTAACTAGCTTCAACAGTGAATGTCTGTATCTAATGAATTCCTGGGGAACGGAATGGGGAGACAATGGATTTTTTAGGGTGGAAAACGCCGATGTCCTGAAGTTAGAGTTCATTGACGTTTACTGGACAGAAGGTGATCTTACGGAGAATGAAAAAGACTATCATAAGCAACATGGCTCCAAAGTTGCTGATAGATTAATGAGAAGTCTGATAGGATTACAGAGGGCGGAATACCAATGCCCTCTGTGCCATCAAACGTCGCTTGTCACCGAGTTTACAGGGCATTTGACTGAAGCACAATGTCCAAAATGCCGTCGCTATTTCAACAGTAATGACGAGGGGAATATTTTGGCCTTGAATATGTACCTTACCTCCATCAGTAGGTAAATGGTTTACTTTTGAGAACTTCGAAATGGTTTCAACATTGTCAGCTGTATGTATATACATTCCAGTGGATGAAAGCAGATACTAATAACTGAAAAGTTGGCACATGTCATATTTAAGGAATCTATACATATATATTAATAACTTACATAATTGTAGGACATCTTTTTGTACATTGTCTTACTACATAACAAATAGAGCCGGTAACATTCCATTCGTGCAGTTTTTATGTATAATAGGCAACACTGTCAATAACTGCATGTACTCGTACTTCAAGCACTAGGATCAAATCACCGTGTATAATTATAGGGTTTTTTATGTTTCCATTCTCTTTTTGATTTACAAAATGTTTAGCCATTAGATAAATTAGCCATTTATCCATAAATGCCATAAACAGTATACATGTATATATATCTGTAAACCAACTTGTAATTGCGATGACTTTATTTCCCGATTTACTGGCGTAAAACAACTTTGCAAAGATTTATTTTCGCGATCAAGCCATTCTTTTTTAATCTGTTTATAGACACAGAGAATTTAAGGACTGGTTCGCAGCGAGAAAGAACAAGGTTCACTTTTGCCTTATTTGGCGCTGTGAGTTTCTGAAAAACTGAATCTGCACAGTTTTACTTAAGGTAGGATTCTTCTCACATTTCTTGTATTTAAAAAGTAATGAATTTCTTACAGAATCAAGAGGACAATATCACTAAGTGATGGTATCAGTGAGATTAAATTTGACCGTTTAATATTAAAGGCAAGGTCAGGTCAAGGTCATTACCTTTTTCCTGGACATTAAGGATAAAAAATTACCGTTCCCAATCATGCGATCCCTACTTGTAATTCAAAAGATTGAATGTTTTTCTTTTTGCATAAAAAGATACTACCATATAGGGCCTATAAGATGATATTACCAAATTGACATGAATAATTTAGATAAAATGGATATTAGCTAATCCGAATTTCCTCTACTTTTCTTAATTTTTTAGGATTTATTAGTTATTTTTATATCCTTCCTATATTTAACTTTTTCCAATTTTTAAATGTATTAAAGTTGTCACATAAAGGTACAAAATGATACAAAAACTGAAAGTTTTGATCGTTTACTAAGAGAGAAATAACACTTTTTACGGATTTTTGGCTCAAATCTGTACTTAGATTTGAAGCATTTAAAAGCCAACACAGTTCTAGTATGTGTGAAAAAATCTTATTTATTTGATATATTTTGAAACTTTAGTCCCTTATTATTAATTTAACTTACATTTGAAAATTCCGTCTAGTCATTGATTGCGTAAAAATTATAACTAAATTCAATGTTCTATAATAATTTTGAGAGGCAGAAACGAAGATATTTTCATACGCCACCATTCCGCCAAAAATATAGTCCCTGTTAGTTTTCAAACGCAGTTTACCATTTCTATTTAAAGTTGTATAATTGTGATGAGGAAAGAAAAATATGGTCTTTTAAATCTCTTACATCTAAATATATAAGACATATCAACAAATGTATTTTGAATATTCCATCTAGTCAGAAACCAGAGAAGAATCCTACCTTAACAATGCATTAAATATCACTTCGATCTTTGGTGACTGCGTATCTATCAAAAATGACGTCATTTTCTGGCCAGTCAATGCATTATGACGTCACAAAATACGTCAATTTCCTCATATTCTGAGAAAGTCTACAAAAACAGCCAATTTTTATAGCTATTTTTTATATTTAATACCCTAGAGCGCAACCTCTGATCTGAAATATGCAACTAGGAAATGATAGAAATAATATTTCTGAGGATTAATGGTTATGTTTTATTTTTTAGATCAGAGAGTGCGCTCATATAATTTTTCTTCACTGAAAGTACTCAATTATACCTGTTTACCTAAAAATTCAAGAACATTGCAATTTCATAAAGCCAGTTCTCCAAGACCTGGACTTTGAGGAGAAATTTTTTAATAGGATATGAAAGCACCAAGTCTCTATTTTATTTTAATGCTTCAAATAGAAAATCAAGTGTTGATCAATTAATTAATTAATGGGTTATTAATTGTATCGCTAATTCTATATTGTTCAAATCTTAGCATCTTAAACTTACTTAAAGCTATAGTTCTGATGTAAATATTTCTTTGCAATTTGTGTCCATTTTAATTTCATCCAAGTATTTTATGATGCCTTTCATTATTTTTTTTTAATTTATGGATCATATATTGTTAACAATAACTAATTAATTAAAGTTTTGATTTGCTAATATTTTTCAGTGTGTCATTTCTGTCTGCTCCAGTTATGCCACAGGCACTAGCCGTTTCATTTCTTCAATAAAAAGTCATCCCGTGGCCCAGTGTTGAGAGCGTCTCCTCTAGAGTCTCAAAGTAAGGAGTTGATCTGTACATCGCAGGTTTCAATCTCTCTTTGGACGTGGAGACCAGTCCTTCAGATGAGACAGTATTAACCGAGGTCCCGTGTCACAGTAGGTGGTAGCACAAAAAAAGATCCCTCCCTCCTCAATGGCCATGAATTCCGAGTATAAGAAAAAAATTTGCAGCTCTCACCAAGCAAGTGGTGGCGTCTCCATATGAGTCAAAAATTCTCAAAAGCTACGTTAAACAATGTACAATCAATCTTCGATGAATATAAGCCTAACCAATATCAAATACTTTTTTTTCAAGAAAAAGTGCCCTCAATAATACTTTTCCTGTAAAAGAAACATTTGGCACGTATACATCAAAAACTTCCATAACACTACTACCATCCATTGTGCTGTGTAAACACGGTATCAAAAAGGGGAAGTGTTGTTGCCAAAATTTGATTCAAAGTTTCATGTCCTAATAAACTTTATGAACAAATTTGGCTAAATGTTACACCAAATGATGTTCAAGTCAGATATGACCTAAGTGTCATAAAATACATTTAAATCATCAAAACGTGTGGAAAACTTTCTGTGATAGGATGACAAATTAATAACATGAGGGAAAAATTCTGAGGCAGTTCTTGATAAAAGAAAAGAAACTAGATTAAGGTCTCACATTTTTATTATTATTGCACATTGAATGACTTCTACAGGACTCAGGACAAGTGTATGTCATATACAAATGTATAATACAAAAGGATTCAGGACGTAAGTATCATGATACAAATGACATTCTGTTCTTTACTATCAAGAACATGGAGTGTGATAAAATATCACTAGTTCCAAGTACTTTAATTATTTCAGTATCTTGAAATTAAGAAAAAAAAAGCAATACACTTCAATGAATATAAATCAATATATTGTTCGGCAAGTAACTTTGAAGGTGAATTCATTTTTGAAATTAAATGGCTGAAATAAATTCATTATTAAAATACCACATAATCCTTTTTCTATGAATTAGACATACATGTATAACATTCACCATAATCAAATGCATCGTTAAGAAATCATAGTAATTTGAGGTTAGAAAATTTTGTCTGGACAATATTTTATAATTTATTCTCAATAGTTTAAGTATCATTTAAGATAAGAAAATTTGAATAATTCTGCATGTTTCAGTGAAAAAATCATGAAAATTGAGCTAAAATTGACTTCACAACAAGTTTTTTTAAAAAAAGGTTTTTCAATGAAATATATAGTGTAAAAATAAAATTCTGACTCGCTTATGGCCAGGTACTTATATAAAAATAAAAGTTTTACAGTTATTGACAAATCAAAGTAAATTGGTCTGTAGAAACAGTTATTTTCAGGGAGTTTTTATTTTATGGTCAGAAAGGAAAAATATCGATTTCATTAAAATCATTATAAATTTGTGAAGGATGTCTCTTTGTCTTTAATTATTGATTTCATGGTAATTAATCCTATAATACAAAAGAGGCCAATGCATACAAATATATTTTTATGGTCAAAAATACTTTAATATCTTTTTTTTATTATTATTATTAAGAGTTTATTTTCATATTACCACTGTCATTAAATTGCTCACAATATGGCAATATAATTTCTATATCACAAAGATATGTTGAGACCCCTTTAATCCTTTAAATGATTCATTTACTTAACATTACTGAAGTAAAACTTCTAAAACATTCATAACAAAGCTACTATAAGCAGTATAAAATGGTACAGAAAAAATGACAATAACATTTAAATAGTACAAAGTTAACATATTTTTAAAAACAAATGCCATCATGATTGTTACATTATTTGTCTAGTACACAGATACCCCACTTAAATCACAAATACTAACTCAAATGATTATTGCAATACAATGTCAAACATCATAAAGTCTTCATAAAAACAGCAGCTCTGGGGATTAATGAACAAAAATAATACACAAAACTTTAACCAAAAATTTCCTATTCCTCGTTTTGTATTGAAAAAGATATTGTTCAATTTGGATATTCTTTTTTTCACATTCCATCACATCAGAATCAATTAACTATCTTTCGCCGTTTTCATTTCTGATCGAGAGAAAGGTATGTACCGGAAGCACTAAATATAAACATTCCATTTCCTTTATGAATCAAGATGTGAAAACCATGTGACAGGTAACTAGGCAACAAGACAAGGTCAGTCTAATATCAGTTAAATGTCTGTAGTCTGCTAATCCTTTCCAACTCTTTTCTTTCTCACTATAAAGGAAAACAATCAAATTTAATGAAGAATAACTTTAATTATTAAGTTTGATAACAACAAAATTTCATTTACATGTAGATTTGGAAATTTTGACAGAGATTTCATGAAGAGAAAGTGAAAACTGTTAATGTTGATGTTTCCATCAAGCACCGATTCAGGTTTTTGCTTTAAGGTGGCAGCGTCACACAAAAAGACAATATTCAGAAAAATCATTTGACCAAAATTAAGTGTAAATTTGCCTTTTTACATAGATAAAACAGTGGAAATGAAATCCACACTTTATTTATCTACATGTATTTATTTATTATACCCCCCCCCCAACTTAAAATCGGGAGGGTTTTTTTTTTTTTTTGGGGGGGGGGTGTCAAATTGTTCAAACCACCCCATCCTCAATGAGCATTGACACTGTCTAGAAACTGGAGAAAAAATACTTTTAAAAAATTTAGGTTTAACATATCTGTACTTATGGAAACATCTTTGACTTACAATTATCGTTGTTCTCCTGAAGTTTTTCATGTATGCGAACTCTGGCATCAGGAAATTCTAAAGCGATTCCGAACCTAAGTAAATTTTTGTTTTCACCGACTAGTTTGACTAGAGCCATCTCTACTTTGTTTCCAAGCACCTCTGGTTTCTATAAATAAAATAACAAAAAATAACAAAATTTGGAGATACAAGTTATACAGTGAAAACTGTCTAATCCGACACAATTTGAATTCAACGATATATTTCTTTCCTTATTTTTAACTCTGTACAATCTAACACCCTGTCTATTCGAAAACAAAATCTGTCATCCAGAGCATGTTGGATTAGACATTAAACATGACATTATGCTGAGAAGCAAACATTTTTTTATTATGTGAAATCATTTTCAACAGAACATGAGAGTTGTCTTTCTTGGCCTATCTCTCCTGTTATCTGATATTAGATTCGGTCTGAAAATCTAGAAAAATTTCATACCAAACAAGTTCAAAATTTCCTGAAATGAATTTCCCAAAATAAATCTTAAAAGACTTTCACATTTTGGTGGAAAATAAGCATTCACATTTAATTTCTTAGTATTACTGTATACAGGGTTATTTTCGCCCCGTCTTATTTTCGCACTTTAACAATTGAAAACAATTTCGTCCCGTTTTAAATTTGCCCATTTGTAGTTTTGTTTAAGAAATTATACTTTATATTTTGAATTCGCCCTGTTTTAAATTTGCCCAAAGGAGGATAGGGCGAAAGGGGCGAAAATGAAACGGGGGCGAAAATTTCCCTGTATACAGTATTAAACAATAGCCTTTTTTTTTTTCTCTAAAATTGTTTTTTCTAATAGCATGTAAGTGGAAATTTTAGCAATAGACAAATATTCCATGATTTTTCCTTAAAAAATTGCACTTCAGTTTTAGCGAGATGTAATTTCATAATTTTAATAATCTCATTATAGAAGCTTTAAAATAAAACACAATTAATTTTTAGCAAAATTTAATTTTAATGATAATTCCACAATGTAATTCTCCCTAAAAATTCTGCTTACACGGTACTTTATATTTGAGATGGTGAGGGGGAATAAATCATCACAATATTGGCATTATCTTTTTTTCCTTTAATCTATTGGCTATTGTATGCACCATAAATATTTTGTTTATACTCAATTTGAAAGTTTTCTTCAATCTGATTGGTAGTTTAGAATTAATCTCTTACCTGATTGGCTACTCTCAGTTCCTGGAGAGTTTGGTTCTTATTGATAGCTTTCATAAGTTCTACTATGGATTCACCACTGATGAAATTAGATTCCACGTTTAACACTTTTAAGGTTTTATTTTCTGACAAGGCTTCTGCTAATTTCTGAAAAAATATAGAGCAAAATTCAACATGAATAACTAGAAATTATTCTGTCAACAAATCTGTTGAAATTTTCTGAAAAAAAAGATTTTCCCGCCTACCTACCAACCCAATAATTTCAACCTGAGTCGGGGGAGGGCAAACAAACATTTTTTTTTTATAATTGACCTAATACAGAAATTTTTTTTCCCTATTAGTGAGAAGTTTTTTCGGTTCCGTTACCTTGGCGACTTTGTCTGTCATGTGGACACTGGCCATCTCCAGGTTCTCCAGGACTGTGTTTGTCTTCAGAGCCTCACAGATCTCAATCAACCTCTCCACCGAAATATTCTACACAAACAAAGGTTTCAATTACATTATGGTCAACAAATATTTTTATTGAATCATTATAATTTTAAAATTTATCTTGACAGTTGTGAAGATATGATGCTGTATTTTTTTTCAGACTTATTAAGACATTCCAGCTGAATATGCTGCAACATTGATGGAAATAGACAGTACACAAAGTGAATTTTACAGATGTTCCCTTTAACAATGGAATCCTAATTATAGTAAAATCTGTTTCCTAATCTAAACATTGACTGACCTTGACATTGTTGAGATTGAGGTGTTTCAGTTTTGTGTCCTTTCCAATTGTTGAGGTTGATGTGTTTGTTGACCTTCATATAGTTGAAGCTAACATTTTGACTGCCCTTGAGATTTTTTTAAGGTTGAGGTGTTTGTTTTGTTTAATGACTGACAATAGCTATGTGTGAGGTTGAGTTGTTTATTCAACTTGATATTGTTGAGGTTGTTGGTACATTTAGATTTGTGTTGTTGACTTACCTTGCCTATTGTTCAGATAAAGATTTAAATGACCTTGATATTGTTGAGCCTGAGTGGTTTACTGACCTCAATATTTTTTAGATTGAGGTGTTAATTTTTTAGTGTTACTGACTGACCTAGATTATGTTGATGTGTTGACCTTGATATTGTAAAGGTTGAGTGGTTAAGCCTATAAATACCTTCTCTATACGACATTGTTTAGGTGTTGATTGACCTTGATCAGTCTATGCGAAAGTCACCGGACCGTCGGTTTTTACCGGTAAAATTTAGGTCGGGTCGGTAAAAAAAATCAGTTTACAGGACCAAATGTCCGGTAAAAAATAAGGCCAAATAAATCTAAATTAAGAGGTAAACATGGTCCAATTCCCCACAAATGTCCTTTATTTGACCAATTTAGCAGTAATACCTGATTAATTTTTATATATTACAACCCTGTCATGATCGTTTTTATTCTAATTCGAATTTCCTCTGTCAAGGGTTAGAGATCTTTAGATAGCTCATACGTAGATTTGGTTGGGAAAATATTTAGATAGCTCATACGTAGATTTAGTTGGGAATTTTTTTTTCAAATGATCATCAAACTTGAGTAACCATAATGAGTTGTTTCAGGAAAAATAAATATGCATTGAAAGTGCATATTAAATTTAAGAATTTTTTTTGATACAGTGTATGTTGTACAAGTCAAATATGAAGGAAAAAAAATACATGCAATTGTATAGATACCTTTAACAAAGGAAAATTATAAATAGTTAACATGTCCATTTCACTCTGAATTCATTTAACAATAAGTTTAAATTTCACAGTGAAAATTAACCCCATTCCACCCACCCTCTCAATCTCAGTATCATAATGATGTATGGATTTTGTCTGGTAAAAAAGGTGGTAAAAATTTTATTTTTACCAGACATTTTGTCTGGTAACAATTTTCAACTTTCGCGTAGACTGCTTGATATTGTTGAGGTTGATTAGTTTAATGTCCTAGATATATGTACTGTTTGTATTGTTGAGATTGATGCATTGAGTGATCTTGGTATTGTTGAGGTTGAGGTGTTGACTGACCTTGATATTGTTGAGGTTGAGGTGTTATATTCACATTGATGTTGTTGAGGTTGAGGTGTTTCAGTTTGGAGTCGTTGTCCTTTAGTTTCTGTAGACTCTATACTACGTATGTTGTGTTATACTGACCTTGATATTGTTGAGGTTGAGGTGTAAAACTGACCTTGATATTATTGAGGTTGAGGTGTTGACTGACCTTGATATTATTGAGGTTGAGGTGTTTTAGTTTGGAGTCGTTGTCCTTTAGTTTTTGTAGACTCTCCTCTACGTCTGTTGTATTGGGAGGCTCGTCTGGGACCTTGATCAACTCCTGGGCCTTAGCAACACCTAAAACACATACACAGAATAAATGAATAACATTACTGAATGGCTATAATCTAAAGTATGGAGAAACATGTAAAATGAAGAATGTTCAAAGAGAGAAAAGAAATCTGCATGTTTGAGATCTCAGACTTAAATTTAGACTACTTTGGTATGCCATTATTCCCATTTTATCCATCATCTCACCCTGAAATCCTCCTCCCTCGATCTTCGTGTTTTCCAGCCCGGCATAGTACTGTGTCTGGTTCAGCATTCCGTGGAATCCCAGCACTGCTGCCAGGTCTACCAGCTCCTCCTCTGACGCCTGCGTCAGGATGTCATCCCACTCCGTGTCCACGATCTCCTCCTCCTTTGTCTTAGGCTCCTCCTTTGGCTTCCAGATTTTACCTGTATAAAATAAATTATTACCGTATATACTCGCCTATAAGTCGGTCCGCCTATAAGTCGGTTGTATCTTTTGAGGTTATTTGACAAGGATTTGCCATTGACCCGCATATAAGTCGGTACAACTTTTTGCCAGAATCAGATGACAATTTCTAACAAATGTTCTGATGATTTACACTGATTTCAATTCATATTTTAGGAACAACTTTAATTTCATATCATAAAAAAATAAATAATGCCCTTTAAGATTAAAAAAAAATAAATTATTAAAAACTTGCATATAAAATTTATGTATAATCTTAAAATACATAAAGATATAATATATCCATACCTTGTTTAACGATAGCCGTCTAAAATGTTCATAGAATACTTCGATTTCTTATCCAGAAAAATACCAGTTATTTTATGACTTGCCTATAAGTGGGACATAGACTTTTGGACTAAAATTTAACTCCCAAAATACGGACTTATAGGCGAGTATATACGGTAGTAAATTTTGAAGCTGTATATAATTGGTCCTTTATACTTTCAAAGTTAGAAATATCTAACTGTTTGGGACATCAAAGTACTAAGTTTTATTCCCAAAGGCCCATAAATTGCCGAGAGAAGTATAGTCTTTTATTATAAAATAGAATTCATTTTGATACTAGTTAATAAATGATTCACCAATATCAACAACTCAGTGCATGTGAAATTAAGATTTAATGTTATATAAATGGAATTTAGGGAAAGTAGCATTAATTACACCATTTGAAGATGGAAAACATAATGGAAACCTCCAATGCAGAATGATTTGCTATCTATTCAGTAATATAATTTTAGTGATACTTGTTTAAATATATAGCTGAAATATTATTAACTTGTTTCTTTTTACCACTTGATCTTAAAACTTTGACCTTCACTGGCCTCTGGCCTATTTTCTTAACTTTTGACCTATACTGACCTCTGATCTCCTTAACCTTTAACCTATACTGACCTCTGATCTCTTTGACAAAGGGTTTATTTTGTTCCCAGTCTTTTTCCTCCTTTGCTTTCTTTTCTAAGAACTGGAGCAGTTTCTGTCTCTGGAACGGCCCAGTTGGCGCCTTGGCGGTCTGGTTCTTCATACGCTGACTAGGAGGGAGCAAGGAATTCTGGGAAAGGGAAGTACAAATTATATATGATCTTTTGTAAATAGAAAAAGAATATTAAATCATTTTATATCAATGTACATGTAGAGAGTTAAGTTGAGACCATTGTTTTTAATTAAATATTCGACAGAAACATGTACAAAGAAACAATTGATAAAATCTTTAAAATCCTTTTTTGCTCATTAAGATAACTATAAGCAAATAACTCTCTATAAAAATTATAAAATTTGATGCTAGTGGCCTTATAGGTCACCTGAGTTTCAATATATCCAACAATTGAATTTGGTTTGTGTTTTAAACCAGAGGCCATGAAATTCACAATTTTTCAAAGAGGCACTACTGCTTATCATAATTATACACTTAGCAATGCTTGCTAATATCAAACACCCATATTTAATCCTTTATTAAAGAAAAATGCACTTCCATTCTAAATTTTCAATTTCTCTCCAACAAAACACATTGGACCCTATACTAATGAGTAAATTTCAAAGCATTCATTTATTTTCAACAAACCCCTGACCCAGGGGGGGGGGGGGGATCAAACTTCCCATTTTTTGTCATCATAAATATATATATATACTTAGATCATTGGCATAATACCCAGGAGCAAAGGAAAAGATTTTCAAAGAATTTATGTAATGTAGAGCCTCTCTCCTTACACCAAATAGCTAAACCCTGACATAGGGGCCATGAAATTAACATATTTGGAAGAGGCACTCTTGCTCATTATAACTATGTACTTAGTTAGTTTATTTAATACTCAGGATCAGAGGAGAATTTTTTTTTTTTAAATAATGCATTTTCACTGAATAATCTATATAACCCCGCCCTAGCACTAGAACCCCTGACCCTGGGGCCAAGAAATTTACAAATTTGGAAGAGGCACTCTTGCTCATCATAACTATGTACTTAGTTAGTTTATTTAATATCCAGGAGCAGAGAAGAAGATTTTCAGAGATTTAATGCATTTTCACTATATAATCAATAGAGCCCCACCCTAACACCAGGACCCCTGACCCTGGGGCCATAAAATTCACAAATTTGAAAGAGGCACTCTTGTTCATCATAACTATTTACTTAGTTAGTTTATTTAATACCCCAGAGCAGAGAAGAAGATTTTCAGAGATTCAATGCATTTTCACTATATAATCAATAGAGCCCCACCCTAACACCAGAACCCCTGACCCTGGGGCCATGAAATTCACAAATTTGAAAGAGGTGCTCTTGCTCATCATAACTATGTACTTAGTTAGTTTATTTACTATCCCAGAGCAGAGAAGAAGATATTCAGAGATTCAATGCATTTTCACTATATAATCAATAGACCCCCGCCCTAACACCAGAACCCCTGACCCTGGGGCCATGAAATTCACAAATTTGAAAGAGGCACTCTTGCTTATCATAACTATATACTTAGTTAGTTTATTTAATACCCTAGAGCAGAGAAGAAGATTTTCAGAGATTCAATGCATTTTCACTATATAATCAATGGAGCCCCGCCCTTACACCAGAACCCCTGACCCTGGGTCCAAGAAATTCACAATTTTGGAAGAGGCATTCTTTCTCATCATAACTATGTACTTAGTTAGTTTATTTAATACCCAGGAGCAGAGAAGAAGATTTTTAAGGAAATAATGCATTTTCACTATATAACCTATTTAGCCCCACCCTAGCACTAGAACCCCTGACCCTGGGGCCATGAATTTCACAATTTTGGTAGAGGACTCAATGCTTATTACATTCATGTCAACAGTTAGCCTGCTTGATGTCCAGGAGTAAAGAAGAAGATTTTTAAAGATTGCATTAATGTTGGTGGTTTTGGCCCCACCCCTCAGGCCCCAGGGGGCGGGGACCATGAAATTCACAATTTTTGTTCCCCTTCACCCATAGATGCTGTATACCAAATTTGGTTGAAATTGGTTTAGTGGTTTCAGAGAAGAAGCTGAAAATGTTCAAATGTTAACACACGACACACGATACACGACACACGACACACGACGGACGACGGACGACGACGGACGAAAACGGATAGCAATAGGTCACCTGAGTGACTCAGGTGACCTAATAAAATTTATGTCAGTAAATCCCAACTAAGAGTTTACGCCTCAAAATCATTCCATATGTACTTTAATGATGTCTCAAAGGAATATTTTAACAAACTCAAGTCAGAATCAAAGTTTTCATTCCAAACTCACGTCAAGTTCTCCACATTTAACCTTGACAAATTCACATCTGGATCAAAGTTCCCATTTAATTTTAACGAACTCACGTCAGGATCAAAGATCCCATATAACCTTCACAAACTCACGTCAGGATCAAAGATCCCATATAACCTTCACAAACTCACGTCAGGATCAAAGTTCCCATTAAACCTTCACAGGGACAAACTCGATGTCATCAAGGATCAAAGTTCCCATTGGACGGGCTTCAACAAACTCATGTCAGCTGACTACAATTATAAAATGGTTACCATAGTTACAGGAAAAACTTCACAAACTCACCGGTGTCGATGCATCAAAGTTCCCATATAACCTTCACAATTTCAAAATGTCGGGATCAAAGTTCGAAATTTATAACCTTCACAAACTCAAGACGTTTAGAACAAATCAAATATAAAGTACAAACTCGTCGGGATCAAAGTTCCTATTAAACCATAACAAACTCACGTCGGGATCAAAGTTCCGGATTTATGTTAAATCAACAAAAACCCAATGCCAGTAAGTCGGGTTTCTGTTGAATTATTTATTTTTTATAATCTGTAATGTTCCAAATTAAATGTTCTAAAAAAATATCTAGTTTTATTTGGTTTTAAATGTATCTGTGACATATGTATCGCTATCGCACCTGGAGACATCCATACTGTCAGCTGACTATAATTATAAAATGGTTACCATAGTAGGAAAAACAATATATATATACTGATGACATAGTTTTCTCTACGGCCAGCGTAAAGGAATATAAAATTTCACATTATCAACAGTGAAAATTTTGTGCTGTATTTTAAAACTGAATGCTTAGCACTAAGTAATCAGTTTATAATACCAAGACTCAGTCATTATAATATAAATTTTATGAAAATCATTTTTTGTATGTTTTGGATATGTGTAGTACACATTGTCAAAATAAAATTTAAGATTTGTTCATGGTGATGCATCTAGGTTTCCCTTTGAAATGTAAAAATTATTCATGATACATTATGTAGAACGTATATACTATTCATGTGTTATAAAACTTGCAGAACATTTTAACACTTGAAGGCATTAAAATATACATGCCAATGGGGTGACTACTTCATGAATACTTAAACTATAACTTCTTATTGGGCTGTATTTAACATCTAACAAATTGCTCTAATGCACATCTAAATATCAGTTTTACCTTGTATAAATAAATATATCTCAATATTTTTTATTTTCTAGAAACTTAATGATATAAATACTTCAACCCATATTTTATCCTAAAGCCTTTTACTACAACTAGTCTACACATTCCAAATGTTTATGAATTGAACTTTATGTTTTGTTTTTCTATAATGTAAATATGTGGCAATATGCCTTCAATTATACATGCTCTTAGACTAAGATGTATATAGTTTACCAGTAATTCATCTATCTTACATTGTTACAATTACTAAAATATCACACATAGGAAAGGAGGTACACTCTCTTTAATTCAATCAAGTCACGATGCAAGAACTGATAGTTTCTTCTTGATCCGATGTTCATTCAGAGCTGTATAACTAGGGTACAGCTGCTGTACAACACAATCAGCTGATTTGACCTACACAGAGCCTGATCTATTTATAGACCGGAATGTCAGACTCCACAGATTAACACACAACATGTGGCCAATACTGACATGGAGGGCATGTTCTTGTACAATATCCCAAGTAAAAAAATAATCTCTGTTTCCATTCATTTTTTGGTTCCTCCAATTCTTGGCCAATTATTTTACTTCCAAGTCAAACCTCTGTCAAGCTTACAAGAACTTAATAAAATGAGGCCATATCAGATTTGGAGCTTCTAATTTAATTAGATACTAGCAGTCTAGAGTCAAACTTCTGTACTCAGAGGCTCTATCAATTTACTTACACCCAATGATGTTAAGAGTGGGACATTTCTTTTTTTTCTAGGGGAAAGGGGGGGGTTACATGTAGAGATCTTAATATTTATAAACATTTTTAAATATAATTTAAAAAAAAAATCACTGCAGTCTGTGTTAAACATGTTAAAATGATAAAGCTTCCACAAACAATATATTCAGCAAATAATGATCTTGCTGACAAAGGTTGAGGAGACAATACTCCTATTCCATTTCAGAACATTACTGCCCTACATTTTTCAAAGTTAACCTTTGCTCATTTAAATGTTCAATAGATTCCATAGGTTTAATGTGTTAAAATTCATATTTGGGGTTTAAATACCTGTGGATACAAAGCCTGTTTGTTTTGGCTGTTATAGCTAGCTGACTCATCAGATTAAAAGATCAAAAACGGCTTCTTCTTCACAACTCATAAGAAGTAAATTATAAATTTCAATGTGTATTTGGTGAAATGCTTCTATTACAGAACTTGTTTATACTTCAGAATATAATCATTAATTCTGGAACTTACAGCTGACCTCTCTAGATTCAAACTTATGATTCTCTACACTACATAATCTACATTATAAAACAGTGCTTATTTATAATTCTCTTAGTATATTTATGCAATATAACATAATTATAATTATATAGTATAGTACAGTACAGTATAGTATTATAAATAACAAGCTCATGGGTACAATGTATAATACTAAATGCAAACATACATAAGCTTATGATTTTGTTCCTGTGTATTGACTATCCAACTATACTGTACTAACTATAAGGCAAGGACATTTCTGTACAACTTTCCCTATATTCTCTCGTGTATAAAATATGATAATGTTTATAATACAAAACTAACTTTTTGTTTGTCCCAGACCATTCATGAATAAAGGGTTTTCTAAAATCTACAAAGTAAATGCATTGTTCTATCAAATCTACAATGAAAACCTGAGCATTCTCCCCATCTGTCACTTTTGAATCCATCTCTGAAAATAAGAGCTGCTTTTTTTATCAAACAAATTATGAGACTACCAATCAGTTAAATTACTTAGATAAAGTCTTGAATTCAAAGGCCATCACAAGTCTTTTGAAATTCTTTTCTTATCATCAACCCTTAATTTCAATAACGTATCTTTCTTTCAGAAAAAAAACAAAAACAAACATGTACCCAGGCTACAAGGGGAAAAAATATTTTGAAGCCAAATTTTAGAATTTCTCTTCTACATTTAAGATATTCTCCTAGGAAGACAAATTAATTTTCCGGTCCTAGAAAAAGTTGGTTTAAGTGACTGTTTGAAAAAATCATGTGTGATTCAAATTTTAATTTAAAAGATCACAACTATGATTCAGCAGGTAATTATTAAATGGTCAGGAAATATGGTCACAACAATGACAGAGATTGCTGCACAATTTAGTGTGCTTGACTAAAATTATAAAAGATTGAAAAAAAAAAAATGTCATGAAAATTATTGATGTGGGTTTATAGTTCTGGATTATATCACTTTGATTAGTTTTGAAACTTCTGTATTTTAAAAAGAAAACTCCAAAGCACATCAAAAAGTTAAGATTTTATGTAAATATAATAACAGCCAGACCTAATGTATGTACATGTAGACTGCACCTCTAAAAGTGTGCATATGATGTGAGGTAAACAACTAATTAAGTGTTAGAAGCCCCCTGATGTTATCTTACAATACTGCCTGTAACACAAAACATCTGGTGAAACCCAATCCATTAGCAGGCCTGGTGGTGGGTTATGGTCTAATGTACCATTGTATGTATTTTATTATCATGTAAACTACATGTATTTATTTATTAATGCTGTGTGTAGTCTCTAAGTTCTTGAAGTGACAGTTTTGAAATTTTCCCCTAGCTAACATAGCTGAACCTGTAGCGTTATGGTTTTATATATTTGTCTTTGACCATAAAAAAAGAAAAGATGAATAAATTTTGGGGGAGAATTTCTCCACTTTCCAGCATCGGTCGATCAACTACCTTTCAACTCCTAATTCTAGACACATTATTTAACTAATCTGTATATTTTATCGATCTCCCAACCCTTTTTAGTCGTCTCTACAAGTGATAAACTAGCTTGATTAAAATTATTTTTTATATTGCTGAAAATTCACATCAAGCGAGTTTATTGCCTGTAGAGACAACTATATTGATATGCAATTAATACATGTATATTGTATAGCCTGTACAAATCTTATGTATGAATTCTGTATACCTATGAGATGTAATGTCTCCAGTTCAAATAAAATACAAAAAAAAATACAACTATAAATGGTTGGGAGGTAGATAAACTATACATATATTCCACTTCAAGTTCAGTTTACATGTAAACAGTCCTGTCCTGTATAAATATTTTGGTCAGCATTAATAATCACTGGTTTCCATAAATGTTTATACCTGTTGGTGAGTAATGGCTGAACAAACAGAGAAGAATTTCACTTTTGGTGTTATTACTTATTTATCTGATAAGATGAGTGTAATTAACATGTGTTTTAAGATAGCTAAAGGGCCATAACTTTTGCTCCTCTGAGTAAGTATTTAAATATGATTTGGCCAGATCATACATGAAGTATTTCTGGCTCAGAATAGCATTTAAAATATAAATATTTGATATTTTTTTAAAGCATTAATAAAGAAAGTAGACCCCCCCCCCTACACACAAAAAAAAAATTCAATGAAAAATCTGAGAAAAAACAACAGAATAATTATCCTTTATGTAGTCAATAATCCCATGTGTCTTGATGTAAATAACAGTAAGGGTTTTCCATTAAATCTGTAGGTAGTGAAAATGTACAAAGTTTAGGCATATGAGCCGTGTGTCAAATGCAAAAGGTGTGAGCCTGCTTTGTAGTTAAGGGTGCATCATCCCTACCCACCCAATCCTGAAAAATTTGGTATGTGCTACAGAAAGTAGGCAGAGAGTTAACAAATACAGGGAGCCAAAAATCTTTAGTTGTGTCTTGATGAAACCCAAATAATCAAATTCAAAATAATATTTATAAGGGTTTTCCATCAAATTTTATGCAATGAAGAATTTTATGATTTAAATCAACATATTACAGTGGACAGATATCTGTGTGTCAAATGCGGATAAAAGGTGTGATTGCTAGTTAAAGAGACAAAATAATGTTTAAAAAATTCTGTTCCCATGAATGATCGTCCGGAAACTGAAGCATCCGGATATCTCAAGGTCCACTGCACGTGATTTTTTAAGGTTGTGATGGGCCTACATTTTTCTCTTCCCTTTGTCACAATTTAAAAAAAACATTCACATTTACAGATAAGTGGGGTTCAATGGTTTTTGAAAAGCATGAATGAATAATAATTTCACAGCACATAAAAAATATAATTAACCTGACTATCCTTTACTATTCAAAGGCCTGTTCAACAGAGTGAATGCTTGTGAGCGCTCGCCAAAATCACTTATACTTCCGATAGAAATATTTGTTTCCGCTCACTCCAGTGAACGTCTTCTTTTTTGGAGTCCTGCATATTAAAGTTATGATTTTCTGTTGAAGTATCTAAAATTTATACTTTCTTTTCATCACATGGAGAGAGAAAGAGAGAATATTAATGAAATCATAAATGGGGTTCTATCGTTAAAATGATATTTTCTCCCGTTTAACATACTTTATGTATTAAATTTTATGAACAATAGAGAGAATGTAAACATGGCAGGTAATTTAAATCGAGAAAAACGTTGAGAAAATTATTGGACGTATTTTATGGATTATTTTTTGGGATAAAAGGCATAAGCAATCTCAAAAAGGTTTGTTTTGATTAATTTATAAGTTATTTTCTTTGCAAATCCGTTTGTATCCTTCAAAATCGTTTTGTTGCGATTTACAATTTTTTGCTACATTACGGGTAAAAACTGTGGTGACATGAGACACATTTATAGATAAGTGGGGGCCGATACGGTTATTGCAAAAAAGGTACCTTTTTTGAAAGAAAGGTGTGAATTTCCCAATTTCCACAGCAAAAATGAATTAAAATATAAAAGTCCATGAACTTAATCGCAAAAAAAAAACAAAACAAACAAAACGTTTGCAAATGAAAGTGAAACCGTACCACTATTTTTAAGGTCTGTTACAAAAATGTGTACTAACTATGAGTGCAGAGTATCTTGTCATGTAGTTTCGACAAAAAAACATCATTTTTGTTTCAAAAAGAGACATATTTAAACATTGGTAAGCTGCACCTAGAAATAATCCCACGTTTCGGCAAGCTCAGTCTTGCGCTGTATTAGTAAGCAAATTTTAAGTTGTCCATGTGATCGAGGAAATTTGGGACTATGTGACTGGCGACTGCATGCCACCTAGAAGACATAACCGTAATCATCATCACTCAAAGATAGTAATTACAAATCTATTGTACTTTCATAAATACATAACCCTTTCCTTGTTTATCAAAAAGAGTTAAAGAGAGAGAAAAGCAAAGAGAGAGTGAATTTTGGTTAATATCCAACTTTTCCCAAAATGAAGATAATTTTAATTTCATAAAAACAACACCTCATAATAATAAACTTGAACTAAAAACTGTCAAAAAATAGCAAAACATTTGCTTTTTCCTGCAATAACATGACTATGCTACAGCAACAAAACACTGCAAAATATCACACCCAGTAAACGATTTTTCGGGGAATATGAGTCAGAATAAACATTCTGGCTTGCTCAGTAGTCTGGGCCGGGACAGATCAGGGATTTTCTTCACTTCCAGTCTACTTTATGAGCAATTCATATGTAAATAAGACAATAAACCCTAATTTTAATATTTCGATCCGGGGAAACATTTGTTTTATGAAAGAAAAACGTAAATATTCACCTCTTAATTAACTTTTCTTCACTTCACCGTCTTCGAACCCAATTGACCTTCACCTTGTCAATAAATCTAAAAATAAATATTTTTGTTCTCGTTACTGCGAGATGACATGAAATATTTTTTTTATACAAATATTTTTTAGAAGACTCACATTATTTTCCTTATAAAAAAGGTTTGGCTAATTTTGTAAAAATTTATATTTTTTATTTTTAAAAAGTAGAGAAATCTACCATGTTGCCAAGCAATGTGTAAGCAACATGGCCGCCAAAAAGTGTATCAACTTTTGATCAGGTGGCAAAAATGCTGTAAAAATAAGCTGTTTTAGACAGCTATTCGTGTAGATCTTGAATAAACGTGGATAATAATACAAAAGGTATTTATTATACATATATAAAATTTTTGTTTCTGCTTTAAATTAATTTGTTTTGTGTGCAATAATTGAATATCTGCCAAAAATTCAAACCGATTATACAGGACAGGGGGTCGTGTTTTTGTAACACAAGTATGAGTAATTGGTAACTCCAGATTTTGGTTTGACATTTATTGCAATTAATTTTTGGATTGTTCAGTGTTTGTTTTAAAGGTAAATTGACCAAGCTTTTTTTTTAAAGATCTATAAGTATCATCTTAAATTCTTATTCTATTTATTTAATTGTATACAAAAATGGATATTGGCAGTATTCAGTGATAATGAATTTTTATTCAATGGTGATTTATAATTTCTATTGCATAATAATTTGTCTTTTTTAAGCCCATTTCAATGATTTAACAATTTATTTTTAAAGGTTACAAAATGGCCTACAGACAAACAAATGGTCTCCACAGGAGTATGAATGATGCTGCAAACATGAATGGGTCAGGGATGAATGGAGCAACAGATAATGATCAAATGACAGCTAGTCAGCCCATGGGGTTGAGGGGTATCGACCCAGAATCCTTAAAATCCCGACTGATATCCTTTGCTCCCCAGCAAGCGGCAGTGAATACTAAGGCTCTACGATTCAACAGAGTCACACAATCCCAAATGAAGAAAAGTTTTGCTCCCCTTGGACCAAAATTAGAACCAGTGGTATATACTTTTTTGGGGATTTCAATAGTATCATATAATACAACAGAAATCTGTATTTTGTGTGTTACATGTTTTCGCTATGAAGAAAAATTATATAATTGCATCCCTCTCTAATGGGTATTATTGTGGTCAATATTCCATTCACTCATAAAAACTAAACTTTCTATAATACAGAAATCTGTCGCTATGAAGAAAAATTATATCATTGCACCCCTCTGTAATGAATGATATAGTGGTCTAATGAAAGGTTTATCTATTCACTCATGAACTTTAAACTTTAATAGGATGAAGGCCAGATTAAATAAAGAATTAATGTATTGTAATTTCAGCCAAGTTTACAAAAATACCAAGAGAGGAATCACCCGACTTACATTCAGAATCAGAACAGAATTAGACTGGAGTCCCAGGGAGTCTTCAAGAAGGATGAACCCTCCGCCAAGAAGATGAAGAGAGCTGGCTCTGTAGAACCGATGGACAAACCCGAGTCCCCACTCCCAGAATTACCGGGCGACCTACAACAAAAACAGGTTAGCCTTTTTTTAAAATTTGTTGTTTATTATTTACATGTTCCATGTCCCTAAGTTTTCCATTCTTGTAATGCAGTAGAAAAATCAAACATGTTTAACAAGAAGTTTTGGAGTGTTAATTTAGTGTATATCCTTATATTTGATAATTACTTTTAAAACTACAGAGAAATGACAGATAAAAAAATTCTTTTATGTATAGAAGTGGAGGCAATGATGTGCAATAACTCCAATAAGTAATTTAAATATAGATCATATGTGTAGAAATCAGTCTCTTTGTTTACTGCAGTTGATGTACATTTTCATACTTTACTTGCACTCGCTTTACATGTTTAATTAATTTATACTTTCTTGATCCAGGCCTCCATGGTTTTACGAGTTCCTACACCCCCCTCAGAGCCCAAGCCGGTCTCCCCCCGGGGTAAGGCCCACACTTCTGGCCCCAAAATGCCAGCATCAACAAAAGCCAAAAGTAAGTACTGGGTGTCAGTAAAGGAAAATGTTTCATTTATGATGCACCATTATCAAACAAATGATTTTGCACATCTGTGATTAATTTACAAAAAACAAAGTAAATTTATGTGATCATAACATATGCAGATGCAAAATTAATTGTTATTAATATTTACATTAGAAAAAAGAGAAGTTTTCATCTTTTATAAATTGGAATTTAGTGTGTATGAATTTTTATTTTTCTTAGATACTAGGTATAAATGATTTTCAGATTCTTTAGCTCTGTATGAAAAATTCAAATTGCCATTGTTTCGTAAGTATGAAATATGAAGGAATTTTTTCATTCAATCGGAAAAGGTTGCACAAGCTCATACGTTTATGTTTTGATTGCAAAGATGTGAAAATGCTCACGAACTTTAAGACACAAAGAAGAGGTATATAAGATTTTACACTTATATGATTAGTTGTGATATAATATTTATTTATATATATTATTATTAATTTGATTCTTGAAGGACAGTGTCTTAAAGTAGAGGAAGTATTAAGGGTCTAAGTTTCACATCTTTGAATATATTTTTTTTCAGAGATTTAAATATTTGTTATGTGTATATTTTCTGTTCTATTTTTTGTAATTTAAGTTTTGGTTAGGAACAAAAACAAGATTGTTTGCATTTGCAAAGTAATTTTTTTTTTGTTCAGCATTGCCACACTACATGTTGATTTGCGGTCTATGTAGCATTGGAAGGGCTGTGTTTATGATCATTTTACATATTAATGCAGATGCCTCCATGCTTTCTGAACATCACTTGTGCAACAACTTTCAGCACAAAATGCAAAAACAAATTTTATTTATGAATTGCGAGGAATTTTCAAACTTGATGAATTTTAATTTGTAAGTGTCACCACAAAAAAGTCTTTTTTTAAAAAAAAATAATTGAATTTATGTCATATTTTGTATTTTAGTTGCTGAGACACATGAAGGGCTGAATGATGCTGATGAAATCATCAGACTGACCAAGGAAGACAAGAGAATAGGATTCTTATATCTGAGTCCAAATGTACCCAAATCCTCAGTCAAATATCACTATTATAACCTCAGGTAATTAAGTACTAAGATCACTAATCTGTGCAGATCTCATTTAGTGGGACATCACCAGGACACTCCCTACCCTTTCCTACAATGCTGGTATTGTTAGGGCCATGCATATTTCATACAGAAAAGAAAACTGTTTATAATTCTGTTTACAATGATGTTGAAAAGAAAACATCTTATGATTGGACAATCTGTCTATCAATCCACATAATATGCTTTTAGGACAATTCACATATTGAAGCTATGAGTTTACCACGTGATCATGAATAGAAAATCTAAAATATAATTAGATGAAGAATCATCACCAGCAAAAATTTATTTGTTGGAAGCAACTGAAATTCAGTTTTTACAAAAATTTTCCCTCAGACCATAAAAACATTTTGATAAATACACAAAGGAGTTTCCTATAAACTCTATACTTTTTTCCCCAGGGTTGTGAACCACCAGAACATTAACCACGCTGACTACTGTACGATCAGTCAGGAGGGGGTCACCAGGATGAGGAACGACGACGAGACAGAGTTCGTGACCCTGGACCGCTGGGAACAGGAGTACAACTACTTCAAGAAAATCATCAAGGTCGGCTGATTTTCTGAAAAAAACTTTTTTGGAAACTTAACACAGCACTCATAGTCATAAAAATCTTGAAATTTTTGAAACAGTGCTGTGTTTGATTAAAGCAAGCTTTTCTTGTTTTTAGGGTTTAAATGTAGAGTTCTGCTTGATGATTATTATTGCCACATCAATTATTGTTCACTTTCTTCTGGCTTCAACTCTGCAATTTTCAAAGGCTATATTAATTGATTGAATTGTTAAATACTGAAATATACAACATTTACATTAAAAAAAAACAGTAATGTTATTATTTTTCTTTTTTTAAAACTAGAAACAAACATAATTTTTTTGTTTATATTCTTTTACAGATCAAGACTTTTGCGCTGTTCAGGAAGTGGAAGGCATTTAACGTCTGGAGAAAGAACGTCAGAACAAAGAAGATCACAGAGTGTACTAAGGCCCTCAATGAAAACCTGTTTATTGTCAACCCGGTCAGTGGTTGTATTCTTGATCGTAATGATTAAAAGTGTTTCCATTTCTATCGTTAAGACTGTACACAGCTGGAAGATGTTAAAACAGACTTTCAGTTGAGCTATCTATTGCACTTACATGAGATTTTTTCAGTCTTGGAGACCTGCCCTACTTAACCTATATGAGATTTTTTGTATTTTCAGTCTTTGAGACCTGCCCTGCTTTATGTGTGTGATATGTTTTGTATTTTCAGTCTTTGAGACCTGCCCTGCTGAACGTGCGTGAGATGTGTCACCGTATCAGTGACATGGGTCTGTGTAAGGTGGAGAAGGGGAACACCTACGCCCTGTCACAGTTCAGAGAGGCCCAGTTTACTCAGCTCACAGAGGTACTGGGAAATTACACTACTACTCACATAAATGCTGACCAAATTATATAAGCCAGAAATATCTGTGGATTGCACAATCTTCTATAATTCGCAAATAATTCTCATTGCATAATTACAATTTATTTTATCATCAATTAATTGTCATTGACTGATTTTATATAACAAATCTTTGATGTATGAAAGTTGTCAAAAATAATATTGCTTTAGTTCTTTAAATTTTTTGAGTAAAATGAAAAGAAACTGTAATGGCTTTAACTCCCATACTATTTATATCCATTTAACAGGGTCCGACACTCGTCAAAATTTGGTCTCGCCATTTGGGCAACCTTGGTATGATCACAGGTTGCCCAAATGAATTTCAGGTCGTCCAAATAAAATATCAATTGAAACAAAACTTAATATGCAATGGTTTAAAATTTGTTAAGATAATTAATAGAAGTTGTGTTTTTGTATTAAAAAATGTAAACCAGACATTTTTGGAATTTAAAGTTGTCTTCTAGTATTTTATCAAACAATTAAAAGTATAAGCAGAATCAGACATGCTGAAAGCTGAAGTTTGTAGCTTAAAACATTCATTTTCACTTGCCATGAAGGCCTAAATATAGAGGGTCAAATAACCCTGGACTGAATTAATCAGGTGTTACATTACAGTGGACACCCAAAATGGCTGTCTAGCAGCAGAAAACGATTATTATGATCAGAAAGTTGTAGGGGAAATGCAAGATGTTACAACGATGATTATTACTCTATATATTTAAGGTGATTGTTGACTAAGTTGGCATCTTTTATATCTCAAATAATACTTTATTAAAGACTTTTAGTAAAAATTGCATCAGCTGATTGATCGAACGAAGATTTGACAGGAGAAAAAATCTTTGCGGCTGCAATTTGAACATGTTGAATGGGTTGTTTTTGTTACAGGAAAATATGTTTTCAGGGTCTTATGAAGTTTAGTTTAAAATATTAAACATCATTATTAAATATTCCCAACTTGTCCCAGGTCGTCATTTGGGCGAGCCAGACTGAAAATCAGGTCGTCCGAAATCATTTTAGGGTGGAAATGGCGAGGTGACGAGCGCGAATGTCGAACCCTGCATTATTACATTGTAATTTTGTTCTTAAGGTGGCTGGCAGATTGTCAGAGTTCCGGGACTTGGTTAAGGAGGTGGTGCGCTCAGCCTGTAGAACTGCCCTCCTGGAGGCGGGCTTCACTCCAGACGATTATTACATGGCAGACGATGGCGCCAACAGTCCAGGACTGGGTAAGAAAACCGTAGAAAGAAGATGAAATACAGTGGAAAAAGTCCTTTCCCTCACTTTTACAATATGTTCTTCAATGTGATTTCTGACATTCTATGTCATTCCCATTTTTACTTATTACATGCTCTTCAATACTGTGCAATCAAACATCATGTTCAAAAATGTCAAAAAACAATTTGTCTCCCAGTGCATGTAAAATAGGTAAGATTTAACAGTTATTAGCAAAAGCAAGGAGGATTACAGTTCTTCAGTAACTCTTTGGCCTTTGGCTTTTAACTTTTAGTCTAGTGATCTATGACCTTTTGAACCATAGCTCTATACCCTTTGACCTTTTCAGTGATTTGTATAACTATTTGCCCTTTGACCTTTCTAGGTGACATGGCCCCTGGTACCTCGTCTAGCTACATGATGCCCAGTAACTATGATATGGATATTTACGGGGAGGCCCCAGACAGGATGACGTACACAGAGCAGGCCAACAAGAGGGCCCACTGCAAGCGCCTCACCTGGTAACCTTACTATTCACATCATTAAAGTTGAATTATATTTTCTTAAACTTAATATTTTTAAAGTTGAATTATATTTTCTTAAACTTAATATTTAAAAAAAAATGTGTATGAAGTTGAAGCTTTTGAAGTAACCATTGACATGGGAATCAAGGGGAAAACAGAAAGGTATTTGAGGATTTAATATCAATGGTAAAATTGTACTTAAAGGATAAGTCGTTAGGACTTTTGAATCACTTTGACATATCCATGATATTTGAGATATCAGTGGTGAAGATAACAAAGTTCAACTGCTAATTGTTATTTATTTGTTCAAAGAAAATTTTAAAAATGAAAAAAAAATATCCAGAAACATTTTTAAGAAGTACTTTTCATTTGAGAAATTTGATATTGACAGTTTTATCCGGTTGGCTGACTACCTGATTGTAAACACGATGCATGTTCTGGCCGTGAACTCTGTGTCCACGCTCCTGAACTACCTGTCTGAACAACTCCAGAGCACGCCCACGCTAGAACAGATCCAGGCATTTGCGGAGGAGGCAAAACAGGCGGCCGACGAACTGAAGGAAGATCCAGAGACGGTGAGTAATCCGCGGAGTCAATCCGGATATTATCTGGACTTGATTCAGCTTGATTGCAACTTTTTGGGGGGGATAAATAGCTGGAATGTTATGCAAATAGGAATTTCTAAAGTGGCATGAATGCTTTGCATCAAATTATCGGATTTTTTTCTTTTATATTTACTTAATTTACTTGAAAACTTTTCAGAAAAGACTTTTTTCAGAATTCATTAAAATTGAATAATGGGAACAATTGGTTTCTTCTTGGTCATTCATTTTTAGGTTGGGGTGGGGGTGGGGTGTTGGTTTAGACTTTTTCCCATTGCACTAATTTACTGAATAATTATTAGAGTAATGTATTCTATGTATTGTATATGTGCGTAACCTATGACTTTATATATTCTAATCAGATTCTCGTTGCAGTGTGTGATACATGTGTATAATATTGTGTGGCAATCCCTTGTACTAGCATGTAAAACTTGTGTGGTCTTAATTATCTGCAGTGTGAATTACTTCATTTATAAAAAAAATTATTTGCATGTTTGTAATATAAATGTGTAAACATCTCTGTGTATTTAACTGCCTTGCAGAGTACCTGTAAATTTGCTTAAAGTATCCTAGCATGTTTATTTCTATATTAAAAAAGTTTGAGCTGTACAAGAAATATCAATAAATGATCGGATCAATAACAAAAATGATTTACATACCAAACGAAATAAATACATATTTAGGGGAAGGGGGGGGGGGGGGTAATTCTTTTGAGTTTGATTTGAAATTTTACTTGCCTGTTAATTAATGATGAATGCAATAAAGCTTTAATGATTTTTTTATAATACACATGTAATAACAGATCACCAATATTGAAAAACATTGAATTCCCTGCTTCACAATGATATGAAAACCATGCTTTCATGATTAATTTGTAAAAAAAAAAAAATTGGTTATTTATCAAAAAGTATTATCTAACAATAAATAGAAATTGAATAACCTTATTTATTTTTTGTAGCATCCCTCTAAAGCTGTGTGATTTTTCATGCACTTAATTCATAGATGGACATTTCAATCGCTTAGATTGTCTTTATGTCCAAGGTAGGAACCCCCCCAAATAGTTACTCTTTCAGAATCTGAGCCAAAAGCCACACTGATCACACAAGGCAGATATATTAAATTGACATAATCTGTTTATCCCTGATTTAATGTGGCTGGCGTATAACCCTTACAGAGAGAAGAGAAAAAAGCCGAAAAAGCGCGACAAGAAAAAGAGAAAGCGGAAAAGGGAAAACATGAGGAGCAGGTAGAAGAGTTATCTCCCTTATTTTTTTTTTTTTTTTTGATGTAGTTATCACCCTTTTCCTGATAGATCTATTTATAGTTATCCTCTGCTTTATGCTTTAAGCACACATATCTCCCTGCTTATATATAAGAATTAGATTTTATTAGAGTTACATGACTGTAGATCTTTGACAAGGTGAAGGGATATCAATTTACTTTTATTTTAGGTTACAGGTTTATTACTTGCAGGCTGTTTTTAATGTTAAAATGTCTTCACTTTTAACTTATGACATGTCTTCACATATTCACATATTAACAACACAATGTGCTAATGTCTAGTGTAGTTTGAATTATGCTAATCAATGAAAACTGTTAAAAATAACTCATCTGTTTGTCCATTATATATATATATGTCTCACACTTTCAGTTGAAAAAAATTATATGTACATTATTTCCAGAAAAGAGCCCAAATGAAAATTTTATCAAAAATTATATATTTATTTAATGAATAGATAAATAAATTCATTTTACTACTGTAACAAGGAATGTATTTTTAGTGAATGTTTAAGCTACTATTTCAATTTTAATGCCATGTCCTCCACACTTCTCTTTAGTACTCGTATTACCACTATGATTCACCTGACATGGACTCGGTAGTACAGATATATTCCTCTTTTTTTTTTGGTTTTGGCATTTCAAATTTCAACATGGTGAAGTTCTTTTAAATTTTATTTATTCTTATTAAATTTTATGTTTAACTTATTTTTTTTCAAATCAATGTTTGTGACTTTTGTTAAAGTTTGAATTTTTCAAAAACTAGTTAACTTTGAAGCAAAAAGATTTTATTTTAATAGTCATTATCATATGATAATAATTTTCATGAAAAACTCATATCAAATGTGTAAAACTTTAAAAATGTTTATGAACACTAGCATAAAAAGACTTAATGTTGCTTAAAAATCTCAAAAGGCAGATAAAAATTCACAGATTGAATTCAGATTTGTAATTTGAGAGTTATCTGCCCTTACAGGAGGATGAGGAGGGTCACCAGTTGCCTCCCTTGTTTATCACGGAGTTCGTCCTGGAGCCCAATCAGCTGTTGTTCGCGCCGGACTCGGACGATTTCCAGGAGGGTCTGGCCGAGGTCATCAAGAAGTTCCAGGACGCTGTGCTGTCAGTACAGAACCTGGTACCTGACAACTACTTTGATGCCTTCACTCAGTAAGTCAACACAGTAAATTATCACATAATCCTTAGGGTAACATGTAAAATTGTTATCCTGTGAAAACCATTGGGCCATCCTTAAAAAAATGTTTTTTTGTGGTAACGCGACTGACTCACCAAAATCCACCCTACTGGATTTTTTTTATTGGTTCAAAATTTTTTTTTTTTTTTCATATGATAATAATTTTCCATTTTTATCATATCAAATGTGATAAAATTTTTGACTGTTTTTAAAAAAAATCTGATGTGTTCTGATATATGAGCAATAAAAGATTGAATTCATTAAGAATGTTTTAACTTTCTTGTTTGACTAGTAAGGTGAAATCTAAGAAAAAGTTAATACCTCTATGTAATCTAAATTTATTTCTGACTTTTTGTCTCAAAAAAAAAAAAAAAAATAAGCCTACCTACCTATCCACACCTAAAATGATGAGGCGCGTTACCGCAAAAAAAAAATTTTTTAAGGATGGCCTTGGTGACGGAGGGGCAACAAAAGTTAACAATGGATTTTTAGAAATACCAATTTTCCATGAAACCCTTAAAAATAATGTAATTTTTTTTTAACTGTATATATATAATGTATTTTGAATGCAATGAAAGGAATAGGATATGTTGAACTTTTTTTTATGCCAAAAAAAAAATCAAATTTTGAAAAAAGAAAGTTAAGGTATTTATGATGCATGTAAAGTTCTAAATGTTTTTATACAATTATTGATGCTACATTGAGTGATTTTCTTTTTTCAGCCCAATCATCAACAACAAGTTTGAGGAGAAGACATGCGGGGACGGGCCGAGTCTGAGTACTATGTTTGAAGACGACAAACATCAGCATCATCGCGGACATCAGGGTCAGTACAATGTTTAGTTTTCTCTCTACAAAATACCTGGCCTCATGAGATCACATAGACTGAAGTCAAAATTTCAATTCATTTCATGAATTTAACTTCTGAAATTATTATTGTCTTGATAATCAGTCAAAACTTTCATCTTGTATTTCTACTTGAAATTTATACAAATGACCATTTTTGAAATAGGCACGAAAAATCAAAATCAAGATATGTATAAGGGTGTTGGGTCCTTTTTATAATATTTTTCAATTTACATGAAGTTGTATCTGTTTTTACACTTTGAGTGAACTGCACTAAGTCATACTCAATGAGGAAATCTTTTTCTTACAGAACTCTATCACAGCAGCTTTCAATGCTGCCTCTAACTATGCTGACACATTCGAGCCTCACAGAGAATTCTACCGCGAGAACGAGAGTCTGGATCTAGAGGCACTGCGAGCTCAGGAGCACGGTAAACTCAGAGTTACTGCCCTTTGTACATGCCCTAGTTAAAACAAATAATGTACCAGCTAAAATGATACAATCTGATGATTTGATTTATTTGTTTGGTTTGGACTAACTTCGAGAAATCTGAACAAGTTCTAGCCAAATGACATTCTAATAGTCTACATAATATATTTTAATATTTTAAATAAATGATATAGCTTTAAATCTTCCCATTCATTCCATAGGCCAATTGTAATATTGAATGCATTTATGACTTAACATACTCAACTTTTTTTAGATGTGGCCTTCTTTACTGAGGCCTTAGAGAAGTATAACGGACAGGTGAGAATGGCCCAGGTCATCAAGGAGAAGCGACCAATCGGAATGCTGCTTATAGACGGAACTAAAATGAAGAGTCTGCTAAATCCCTCACCCATACGATGTCTGGATGTAAGTCTCATTTACAATTCATCTGGAATTCATGTTCAAAATCTGCCAATATACAGCTGTACTCTTTAATACTTGGCATAATTCAGCATTTAATTGAATTCCATTCATACACTGTATTTCCTCTCAAACGTACACATGATACACATGCAGTCAAACTTAAATGTCCTAGAGGAATTGTCAATAATTTTTTTAGGTAACCAAGTATTTGAGATTTCAAAATGACCATTAGGCCATAATAAAATTTTTTTTTTTACCCCGCCTTGATTTTTTTATTTCTGTTTTTCTTCGTCTTAATTCTGATCAGGATCGGTATTCATTTACCATTCTACTTTTGTTTTAATTTCGTTTCGAAAGTCGACATGCTTTGATGGTAATTGCTGTAATACATGCATATATATTTTAAACAAGGGTCATTGGTTGAAAAAGATTGGTGATTATGTTCAATTGAATACTTTGACTTTTATTTGGGTATTGTAGATAAAATTACACCAATTGAATTAGCCGCCCACCTGCCTCGATTTAAAAAAAAAATTCGGATGAGAATCTAGCAATTTATTTATTATGGCCTTAATTGAAAAGTTCCACAGTTTCGGTATAACATTTTTTTTATATTTAATATGTGTATTAAACTATAAATTTACAATTTAACAATTTTCAGGTCATTAATGATCTGCTGCCAGTAAAGGCCAGAAAAGAAGTAGACAGACTCATCGCAGAGTTACAGGACGCTCAGTTCAAACTGGAGGTGGTACCCACCACCACAATCGAGTTTGTCAACTCGCTCACATTCCTGGACGACATTCAAGTCAGGGTAAGTTAAGTTGACTCACAGTAAGTTGCTGCAAGACAATGTGCCTAAAACAAGACTTATGCAAGGCATTGAAAGATGCAAAATTGAACAAGAAAGCAGGAGGAACCATAGGAATTTTTAAAAAAGTTTTGATACTTTTTTAATTGTAGTTAATTTTTTATATCATGAATATATAATGTAAGCAATTCTTCATAAGAAAATTTACAGTGTAAATTCCTAAAGTTTAGGATTTTTATCTGTTTTAACAGATTGATCCTTTGGAGAAGGAAGCCATGATTGTTAAGGATATGTATGAATTAATCGAGCAGTATAATGTCCCTACACCACCAGAGGATTTTGCTGTATACCAGGTATGGGATTCCATAGACTTAGATTCAGAAAGTTTAGAAGTCAACTGACTTTATACTAAATTGACTTGAATTTTGATGTATTTAAATTTCTTGCTTATAGTTTCATATTTCTTTGTATGAGTAGATTCAAGACAATAGTAGGTGTTTCATGAGAAAGAAAGGGTGGGGTTATTGAGATATGTTATTAAATTATTGAGAAACTCCTATTAACTTTCTTAGATTTCAAGCCTAAATACACACATTTTGCGGAATATTCTGTCATGTTTCATTTGAATTACTTGACAGACATTGAACCCCAGCATCACAGGAGTAAGGAATGCCATAGATAAGTCACTGACTGAGAGAGATGCCAACATTGACAAGTTCTGTACACACCTGGATAAGGACATAGCTGAACTGGGCAAGGAAGTCAAGGAAATCAAACAGGAGGCTCAGGTAAGGGAGATAATCCAGCGGTAAGGGAGATAATCCAGAGGTAAGGGAGATAATCCAGAGGTTTGGTAAGGGAGATAATCATTGGAATACTGCATGCAGGAATGCTTTCCAAAACAAATGATTCTTTGTTGTTGTTGTTTTTTAAACCTTTTTTACCTTTTCAAGGTTGAGAAATGAAAAATTAAGATTTAGATATTTTTGAACATAGTTGCAATAGCAATCCTCTTTTCCAAATTTTTTTTTAGGTTATTTTAGGAATTACACAAATATATCCACAAATACTACAGTATTCTCAGCTTTAAAAAAAAATGAACATAATTTTTGCAGTATGTTTGAATTTTTTTTTTTTTTTTTTTTTGTAAAACATATAATATACAATATTCACGCTGAATGCCTTCCCTTCAGAACCCATTGATCTTGGATTCCACAGCAGAGAAAGACAAGGTCCAGGGAATACTGAAGAGAATGCTGAACCAGATAGAGGGTCTACAGAAACAGGCCTTCACCTACAAGTCCTACCAGAAGAACTTCAAGGTCGAGGTCACCAAGTACGATGCTCTGGAGGAAGTCCACGCAGAACTGAAGCTCAAGGAACTGCTGTGGACTGCCATTGATGAGTGGGATGGCCATATCAATGAGTGGATGAATGTAAGTGGAATACATGGGGGAATAGGGGTTGGAAAGTTTAAAAAAAAAAAAAAAAAGAGAATGCATTCTTCCTAGGGTTAGCTGGTAAAAGCAATAATTGTTGTGTAATAAATTTGATAAATCAGATGATATTTAGAGTTATTTCTTAATGTGAATTTAATTTCAATCATATTGGTTTTAGCTAGATATTGATTAGTAAATTTTTAGACATTGGAAATACCGAGGGCAGGAGCATGTAAACAGATGATAAACATATTTCAAATTAATATCATTGTAGGTTCCATTTGAGACCCTGGACCCAGAGCAGATGAACAACACGACCATGAAGTTTGCCAAGTCTGTGATGCAGCTGGAGAAAGGTCTGCCACCCAATGGTGTTGTCCCCATGCTGAAAGAACGCGTGGAAACCATGAGAGACAGGGTAGGAAAATTCATGTTGACTGCAAGGCATAAATTTTTGTTTGAATAGGATAAGTGACTTCTTTTAAAATTATATTTTGTATTCAGTTAGATTGATTTCATGAACAGTAAGTAAAAATATATTATTGACTGCACCTCAGGAAATAGTCCTGGCCTTGGGGAACTGGAATCTTGCCAATTCCATCAATTATACATTTCAACTGCATGTTATTAGAGTTTTCTGTGTTGCAACTTGCAAACTTTCAAGTTTTTCCCTAAAATTTTTAATTTTTTATGAGAAAAAAAGGAAAAGGTAATTTTATGATGTGAAGCGATTAGTGAGTTAATTCTCTTTTATTACTTGTGTTGCCTGACATTTTATCTCCTATTTTCAGTTGCCTGTAATCACAGACTTGCGTAACCCTACCCTGAAGCCGCGTCACTGGGAGGTGATAGAGCAGATTCTGGACTACCACTTCACCCCCGAGGATCCCCTCACCCTGGGGAAACTCGTGGACATCAATGCCTTCCGCAGTGGAGAGGCCCTCCAGGAAATCTCAGGCCAGGCCAGCTCCGAGGCCAGTCTCGAGGCCATCCTCAAAAAGGTACGTAGTATTTAAGGCACAAGAACGTAGATGTAGTTTCTCAGGCATCTTAAACCCTATTTCAATGGTAAAAATTTCATTAAAAAATTAAAAATTTACAAAAATCTTGTAATAATAAAGATAAAATAGATATGAAAAACTCTGCTTTCCACATTTTCATTTGTATATTTTCTGGAATTTATAGATTTTAACATTTCCTAAACAAATAGTGGACAGACATCTGTCAGATAGATATCTACATTATTAA